AGAAGTGAGGCAGTTGACGTATTTCTAACTAGCAACAGAAAGCAGGACAATAAACATCGCAGACAGCTATGGCTGTAATACTGGCCCCATACCCCAGGGTCATATGATGTTGTAACATGTTACTAGGTGATGCTTAGTGTTGAAATGAAAATCCTGGGGCTTACAGTCATTGTACACTAACCCACAGAAAGATCATGTGGCCCTCCTAGCATTTTTTTTATTTTTTACCTTAGGTTTCTCATAGGTCATCTCTAAATGCAGATGCACAAATCCACTTACTCTTCAGCTTTTCTCAGCTGAAACACAAGAAAACCTTCAGTGCCCGTGGCAGAAGAAGTTACCAAGCATAGAACCCCCATAAGCTTTTAGTAGCCTCTTTTCACCTGCTGAAAGATCGTCTCCTCCTTGAACTGACACCAGGCTACCAGAGGACAAAAATCTTTGGCGTTTTCAACAGCTGCTTTTCACTGTAAGTCCACAGGGGAGACTTATAAGCAAGGGAGAGAGTTTTCAAAAGAAATAGATACTACTTTATGACACTTTACAGTCAGAGGTGGTAAGAATGACTAACAACTTTCCAGCACTTAAAAACCTACATTTCAGCTAGTTTTTCCTCCAGCAGTAAGTTGTGTTCTTACACATATGGCAGAGGTGCCTGGTGAGATCCTGGGCTCTGATGACTAAGAACAACAATACCCCAATCAAGGAGCAGAAAAGTATTTTTCGGAGCTGAAAGCTTATGCAGAAAAGTTTCAGCAGCTCAGCAGCTTCCTGCTGGCTGGCTTCGCTGAGTACAGCCGAGATGAATCACAATGTTCTGCAGAAGAGATGTTTTTCCCTTCCCAGAAAAAATGAAGACTTTTCTCCTATCTAAGTTTGTTTTAGAGGAACGTTGCCAATATACAACTGGCTGCCTGTAACTCTGCAACATTACTGGCAAAAAGGAAAAATCACTAATATTAATGTAAAAGTGGCATAGAAACATGTGCACATGATGATACCCACTAGCAAGTATGCATATTTCTTGGCTGTGAAAGGTCTTCTTAAAGGCAGTTTTAAATCATTCACCTTTGTAAATATTTCTCCATAAAAAACCTGTGGATACCTAAAGATGATGTGATTAAAGGGTTTCATGACAAGTTTTTTTGTGAGCAAAAAAAATCACAGCCAGCATCTAACTGGCCAATTGCTTGAATAATACTGACCTCAAACACTCATGCTACCACATAAAGTAATATGTAAAGTATTTTTCCATCCAACATTTCCTCCAGTTAATTTTCTCCCTGCTAAGACATCAGCTCTCTATTCCTGCAGCAAACAGCAAGAGCAAACAACTGGTTTCTTCCACAAAGTACAACACTTCCAGGTAACTAAAGCACCCACATTTTACATTTTCAGACTACAGTAATGCAACTGCACTTGACTCTTACCTGCTGTCAGAATTCAAGCTTACAATACAATTTACAGTCACACAGCCATTAGCTAAACAAGTGTAAAACATGCTTTTTTCTTTTAATCTTGCTATTTACTAGTAATGTCCCCACTTCCCAGGCCAGGACTGCTTATCATCACTACAACACAAAAAAAAGCAGCCAGCAAACAAGTACAAAGATTTTAAAGTGGAGACTCACTACAGGAAAGTGCAAGCTTCCTGCAGCTGCTTGAAGAAGGTTTTGTTTCCTACTGTGGCCTTAACAGGACACTGCCATCCCAACTTAGCTAAATTCAGTAATTTGAAGTTAATTATTTTATATTTTTTTCTATTTTTTTTAGTGCCCCCCACTCCCCCACCCCCCCCAGTCTAAAACCAATTTTCAGTTGTAACTTAAGAGGAGCAAAGATTTTAGTCCCATCAGAGTGGAAAAGCAGCTAGTAATTGAAAACAAATTAACCTCTTTCCAACTGTGCCTACGTTGTATTACTGCATTTTCAAAGAAAATCTTTACCATAATCATACAAATCCTGGCAACATTTAGAGCAGGGATGGAAGAACAAAACTGGGTAAAGGGAGAGGTTTTGTGCTGTTGTGCTTAGGTAGATTAAAGTAATTAATTTCCAGGGTGGGTTGAGAGGTAGTTAATTCCTAACTGCCAGAAGAAGTGTTACACATCTGGAGGACTGACATTTCAAATATCAAAAGCTATCTTTCCCTTAAGAATAACATAGCTACGTTTTGCTGGTATTGCAACTTTGTTGAGCAATTATCTGATCAGAGGTCAACAGAGAAAAAATATTAAAATTAAGCAAGTTGATCAGTCATCACTCTCCATTACCTTATAATGATTTGGCTTCATGGATACTTCACAGGTGTACTGTGAAAGTATTTTAGCTATCCTGTGAATTCAGTAACCCTGATTAAATTATTCCTCACTTACAGAAAAACTTAATTAATTGCAGTAGAGATACATCAGCATAAACATGTCATTGTAGTGACAAAATTGTCCATATTTTGTAAGTACTTCGTATTTTGAAAATATTCCATTATTTACTCTTTCAAATATGAACTTGGATTGAATAAACAAAGCAACAAAGGCAGCAAATTCAGAAAACTCAAATATGAAAAACACTATTTAAGATTACTTAGTCTGGAAGACATTAAAAACAGGGACAGGTTCAGGTTATGGTTAAAAGATGGTTAAAAGATATTCAGGTCTGGTTAAAAGATTTCCTGCCTTGTCATTACAGAGATTTTCTGAGAGGCCCAAAAAGACAGTATTGAAAACTAAGCACAAAATTGGGCATTCAGACAACTCTTTCCTTTGCTTGATTCTGGGTGGGTTCATTTGACCGCTGGCAGCCCATCTAATTCAGTCTATCAAAAAGAACAACTAAATTGGGGTACTTGGTCTAAAACATTTAAAGCCTGACAGAGGTGTTGAATCCAAGTGAGCACAAGGTAAGAGCACAGCATTTCTCTTTAAGTCAAAGCCTCCCTCTGAAGCTTGGCACCCAAAGCTGATGCCCAAAATAAACTCTGTGAAAAATGTTAGCCTGAATTTCCCTCTCCCTCAGCCTGAGCTCTTCAAACCGTCATCTGATGTGAGGTAAAAAGGGAAATTACAAAGTGTATTATTACATACTTCAGATGTTGCCTGGAAAGAGTAAAGGTTTATTTTGTGAAAAGCTCCTATTCCAGTGTGGCTGCAGATGCTGGATATTTAAATGAAGCAAAAAGTAAACTGACAGCAGAAAGAGAAGTAGGGTATCGTCCTCACCATTTGCACTTGGCTCCATCTATTCTGCAACGTACAGATAGCTTTTCACCACTGTACGATACATCTGACAATATGAATTTGCCAACCTGCTGTATTTATTATTGGGGTATCAGGTAAGGATGTAGACAGATGTGTCTAAACCAAGCCATTTTCCATTTATTTACTTCCCTTATGTTTCCGCTCAAAACAAACTGAAACCAAATTAAGGTCTCCTAATTTTAGTTAAGATTTTGTATTTTCCCATGTAGTATGACTTCTCAGTTCAGACAATAATTCAGCTAAATCAGTGGTCATTCAGAAATACTACAAATAGCTCTGGGTAGTAAAACACAGTTTACAGATTACAAAAATATTCTGCATGGTGACAGAGAAAGGTAGAAAAACTTTAATTCCAATAGTTCAATGAACAGAAGTCAAAAAGAGCAAAAAGTACTTTTTTTTTTTAATTTCATGATTTGATTTAAGAAAAGGTTGGTATTGTTTGGGTTGGGTTGGATTTTATGCTTAGCAGAGCAGCAAGATTCAAGTTCTTATAGAACAACATTTGTGATTTAAAAAAAAGGCATGAAATTATCTTCAACTACAACAGAGTAAAATAAAAACTAAGTGCAATTTTCAGTTCCACATTGTTTCTTAGTAGAACAAATGCTGACTAAAATCCCTGTACTAGATTTCGCTAGTTCAAAGCGTCACTGGGGTCACACTGAAAAGTACCCAGAGCACATGGCAGAGCTGTAACAGGCAGGGTGCCTCTCAAGTCTCTGCTTCTCCCAGCCTGGGCCACTCACAGGAAGACATTTCCAAAACACATACCCTTGCCCACCCCACTGTATGCCACTGAAATGTTCAAATACATGTACTATATTTAAATATTTCCAATGCTATTTATTTATAATTAAGATTAGGAAGAACTCCCTATGAATAAAAAAACTGTATTGCCATATTCAGACATGCTTAAGATAATTCAGCTTTACAGTTTTGACATGTGTAGCTTATTAGACTCTTAAGAATGTAAAAACACCATTGGCGTTTTTCATATTGCAAGTGTCTGGTAGATAATGGCCCTGCAGATTTTATACAGAACAGCACAAGTCAACTTGCCAAACTTTCATCATCACTCCTTCGGAAACTCTGAGAGGGCCTATTAAATTGGCATTTTGTTTGACATGTACACAGAATGTGCTTAGCATGCAGAACAAGTATGGCAATAAACCTTTTCTTAACAGCTGTGTTATTTCAGCTAATGATAAACATGTATCTAAAGACACATATCCCCACAACTTAAATTGGTGTGAAAAGCTTAGTCACCCCATGGAAAGAGAGGCCATCACAACAGAGAGGAAGTAATTTATTTATTCTTAACTATACAATTAATTGTCTCACTAATAAACACAGTCAAATACACAAACTGTTTTACTAAATTAAGTAAAGTTCATGATCATCATACCTTATATTCTGTCTCTGACCTTGCTGCATCTATTCTTTAGTGACAGATTCATACCCACGGGCACATGTGTGCAATTATCACTAATGCTGGTGGAAGCTGTGATTGAATAACTGAGAGAAGAGTTTATTTTCCAGAATGTTTCCTTACAGTCTAAGAGCTTCAGAGGCCAAAAAGGCCCTTTTTGTCATCATTGTGCTTCATTCCATTATGACTACATTCAAAATGAAAAAAATCTGGACATGTGAAATGCAGATGTTAACGAGCAAGACAGCATATTGATTTAGTTAAGCCATTTAATTTTGACAAACTGCCAAAACAACAATAAAAGAATCGCAAACCTGAAATATTGGAGATTTCATCAGCAGTCTACAATGAACAGGGAGATAATGAGTCCCCGACAACCTCTAGGAAGGGATCGATGCTCTCCACGGAACTGCAGTGACTGGGAATTCCAGACAGTGCCCTTCGATTTTCTCTGAAATCTTATCTTTACAAAGTAAACAAACACAAGATAATAACCTTTAAACTTTCTGCAGCCATTCATAAGCAGATTCATCACTACAGAACAGAAGCCAACATTCAATATTAGTCTCTGTTCAATACGTGGTACTTTGCGTATCACAAAACTTGATCTTTTAAAAGGCACAGGTTGCAATTCCCAAAACCGTGACACTTAAAAAAATAATAAAATGAATCAGGGTGCCTCAGCAGCATTTTCCAGCTTTTCTCTGAATCAGCAGAGCTGTACACATCCCACCTCTCCAGTGAAAACTAAATTTACCACATAACCGAGTCCACAAGTCTTAAAAACCACTAAATACCACAGAAAACACTGCAAAAAGTACTATCTGTTTCAAAATAAGAAAAATACCTTTGTTTTCCGCATTTTTTTAAAAACATGACTAAACTTGGATAAAATTTTTAAATATTTTCTTTTTTAGTTACTTGTAATCAAATTTTGGTTCCTGTATTAGAAATATGAAGCAAACTAAACTATGACAGAGCTTTTAAAGAGCATATGCCTGAAATAATACTGCTCTATACGGACATGTTAACTACCTATTTTCAGACATCCTCAAAATTAAGTTAATAGCTTTATATAAAAGCAGAATTTTTCAAACCAAACTTTTGACATATCCATCTTCACAGAATTTAAAAAGATATTTTACCCTAAATATTTAATAAATTACTTCTAATTCCTTGAAAACAACAGCATTTAGACTACATTAGCACAGTATCTTCTTCAATTATAACCATACTGTTTTATTACATTGGAGAGAAAAAAAGAAGAGGTAAGTGCTGCTACATTATCCCCCCATATTATTTTTTTACAGCAATTTGCAGAACACCATCAGTAAACACAGTGCTTTACAAACCACATAAGAAAGGTCATTACTCCAGAGAGCTTACAACTACAGCAAACAAATGAAGTACAACCACCCTTCCATTCAAAGGAGATATGAGGACACTCCTTTTTAATATATTAGTGTATTATCATTAAAGAGATCTTAAAATCACTTATGATCCCCAAGTCAAGCAGCACCAAATCAGCATCAAAAGTTGACAAAAAGAGGCCTATTCTTCTCCTTGCCCTTCGTTAATTATAAGATGCCTCTTGAAACAGGAGGTAGATGCAAATCAACTCACTTCTCCAGGCACGGAAGGGAAGGTATGGAAGCACTGTGTGGGAGACACAGGGAACTGTACCTGTCAAAAAAAACCCACTAAAATCCAGAAGCACAAGCTGGGCCCCAAGCTCTGCTACTCTCCTGCTCTTCATGTTACCCCTGCATGACTTTTCTTTTGACTCTTGCTGGCTACATCTTCGCTCTGACATTCTGCAGAGTTGTGCCCACCAAAAACACCACTCAAGGGAAGAGGTGGAGGAAAACATGAGGAGTGTTTCATGCATGATAAAGAAGATGGAAGCTCCTAAGAACACAGATTGACACTTTTTTTTTATATTGTGGACTAAATATTAAGGTTTCCTTTCAAGTTTAATTCTTTTCAAACTGAATTTCTTATATGACATCAGACCTGTAAAACAGCCAATATAAGGTCTGACTGTGACAGTCATTTACTTTCTTTCAAAGTGGTCTCCTTTAATTTTTAGATCAGCAATAAACATTTTCATTGGGTCCTTCAGGAGTTTCCATCATGCTCCTCATATAAGAGTATTAATTGCTACACAGTCAAGGACAAACCATTATCAAAGTAAAGAAGCCTTGTTTTCATTGAAGGTTCTGCCACCACAGCAGCAGTGCCTGCAAGATACAAGCACAATAATTCTGCTCTTAATAAGCATCTTCACAAATGCAAAAATTTTTTTTTTTCTTTGATTAAAAAAACCCAGTCCGTAGCACTCTCTGCTGAGGTTCACATTCCATTCAACTCAAAGAATCCGTGCCTCTGTAACCCAGGAAATTTCCTTCATGGCCTTATACAGCGACTTAATAAATCCATCACCTGCTCCTGTCTACACATTACAGAATTTTTCCCACACCTAAGAAAGCAAGGAAACTGGAAAAAAACCTGTGACATGACAAATACAGCCTTCCATAGGCAGGACACATTTAAACCTCTAGGCAGGAGTGGTAGCTCAGAGCTCAGTGGAGAAGGGTAGTCAGGGGAAAGCAGGTGCAGCAGCTTAATGCATGAGACAAGATAATGTTCAGTTTAAAATACTTCCTCAAAATTATGTTTCACTCCTCTTTTGCTTTCCACTACTACCCTAAACCCATCCTTCCTCCCCAACCAAAAACCTATCAGAGAAGTTTACCCTTTAGCAAAGAGACAAAAAAAAAAAAAAAGCAGTGCAAATCCCAGTAAGGATAAGGTAAAAATGCTGAATATCTTTAACATCAGTCAATTCCCAATAGTAACATTTAGGAAAAACTTATTACTCAAAAAGATGTTCTTTCTAGAAATTATTTCTCGTGATCATTGTCAGATTTACTGAATATTAAGGTTGCATTTATAATTGATTAAAATAGACTATCACCTATACCCACTGCAGACTAGATTAATTTTATATTATTTATGATTACAAACAAAGAGGTAGCTATCAATTATTGTGAGGTTTTCTTTGAAAGATGTGCAACTGATAATTAACAAGGTATCAGCACACTGTACACTGGCAATTGCTTACCCATTTATTAAAAAATCATTCATGTGTTACTTGTGCATGGCTATAAACCTGAATATAAAACAAAACATTATTTTCTCACCTTCTGCTGATCCAGGTACCCAGCCTTCAATATTAGAAAAAAAATTACTAAAGGTGTTTTCTGTGGGTAACTGAGGAAAACGTCTGGAATGAGGTTGGCTTTTGTTTAATAAAAGCAAAGAGAGATATACTGCATTTCCCTAATAAATCCCAATCATAATGCTTAGAGAAGAGGGAAGATAATTTACCAGGTGTACACATAATCTTTGCTGAATTACCAAAACAGTGAAATGAAAAGAGGAAGCTGCTGAAATGCAGGAAAAAAAATCCACATAGAGGTAAAGAATCAAATAGCTTAGCTTGATAATATGGGAAAATAATTAAGAACTTGGATCAGTCAGTTCCTGTGAGAGTAAAGTTTTCCTGGAGTACGTTTCAGCTGACCAAACTGCCTATGTTAGGTAGTAGTGTCCTACTTTCAGTACACCCAAATATTCTTTTTTGGATGTGCTATCTTGCTAGTCAAGTGTACAACCATCAAGACAACTTCACCACATATATACCCACACCACATCAGATTTTGTTTCCAATTTAGTTCTCTAAATTTGAGCCCTTATCAGCATCTTTGTCCTGATCATTATCAAGTCTGTACTACTTCTGTGAGGTTTTTTTTTCTTAAATCAAATCCTAAATCAAATCCTAAATCAAATTTATTCTCCTGTTAGACAGCACTCTTCAAAAATCCCAGCAACTGAAAATAAGTGGAATAGTTCTTCTGGCATCAGACACCTAGTTAAGTTTATTGTGTTTTCTGATGCAGGATTTAACAAGAATTTAAGAAAAAAAATATTATTATACCTTGTCACACTGGATCCCACTAGTAAGATTCATTTACTTTTACTATAAACTAATGTCAGGTTTTATTTTGCTGCTGTTCTAAATTAATAAACATTTTGAAATGTCATCTTTACCAAATTTGGAGGTGATTAATAGCAATGGTCAAACATAGTCACCTGTGAGACACCATTCTTGGTGTACCAAGCAACAATGAGTAATGTGAATTATCCATCTTTATGCTTCAGTGCACTCAACGAGAACTGGACTACAATATCAAGTCCTAGAAGAAGAGGGGGGTTTGGTTCTATTTAATTTTTAAGTTGTATTCTTATACATGCAAATAAGCTGACAAAAATCAAGCCTTTCACTTGCCTTCAGACTCTCAACCCTTTGGAAGAGATGAGGCTGGATGAGGCCCAAGCCCTCACCCAGCACAGCTCCCAGCAAATGCCAGGGAACAGGCATTCTGGCGCAGTGGGAAAAAGAGCACTGGAGATGCTGGCTGCTCTGCCACTGCATTTTCTGACAACAGGAGACTTCAAAGACAGAACACAAAGCACTAAGCAAGCACCCGAGTGCCTCGGAAACAGCATTTGGCAGCTAAAACAAGACAAATACCAGGAAAGACCATGCATAGCACTGACCTAACACAACCATGCTATAAGGATAGGAAGGGAGATACCTACACTTTATTTACATATACAAAGAAGGACCATCGTGTAGGAAATCAGGTGCTTTGCAGTTTGCATGGTAGCTAAATCAGCTGGTGCGGGAGAGCTGAGCACGCACACGACCAATGTGATCAAGCAGTGCCCATTTATTACAACTAAGAAAGCCCTTTTATAATGTTCTCCCGCACACATTGAGTAACATGCAGTACAAGTCCTCAGGATTGGACAGTTAACTTAGCCCGCGCTTTAAACCTTCTTATGGTTGGATAAAAAGTGCCACATCAGCCTTGCCAGGCTTCCTGCCTTGGGAAATTCCTCTTCCGTCCCAACCCCTTCCGGGGGTTGTTTGTCTCCTCGAGTTCCTCCCCCCTCATTCAGGGTCACATCCTTATTGCATTCTTGCTCGGCTGAGGCTCTTTTCAGTCTTGTTCTCACTCAGGATTACTCACATGTCCATTCTCTTGCAGAAAGCCCTCTAGAATCCCAACAAGCTGGTACCTTCTTGGTGAGCGTTTCAGAATAAACTTACTTTCAACAGTGAAGGAGCAGCAGCGACCACAAATGATACCTCAAAGACAATCAGGCAAGAAAAAGATACCAGACTTGGAATGATCCGACCTCCCAGTCTCCAACAGATGTCAGGAATGGAAAAAACAAAGCCAAACGACACCCAATGACCCTGGACAATGGCTTTCCTAAGTTAAATAAGCAACAACTGCAGTGCATAGAAACAACCAGTGAACTATACGCTTGAAAGATGAACTCTCACCTATCCTTTAAAAGTCTAGCAATGAAAACACTGGTCGAACAGCA